GGACACAGAACTCCAACTAGCTATAGTCAAAATAAATCTACACCCAGACATATAATAATCAAGATATCAGAAATTCAGCGCAAGAATGGAATATTAAAAGCTGTTAGAGAAAAGAACCAGATCACCTATAAAGGAAAACCAATCAGAATCACAGCAGACTTGTGAACATAGACCATCAAGTCAAGAAGAGTTTGGAGTGAAGTGTTTCAAATCTTGAAAGAAAATAACTTCCAACCTAGATTGATGTACCCTGAAAAACTATCTTTCAAAGTTGATGGAAAAATGGGATACTTCCATAATAAAGAATAACTGAAGAAATTCATGGCCACCAAACCCACCCTACAGAGAGTGCTGGAGAATATTCCAGAACAGCAGCCGGGGGCATGGCCAAACAGGGAAGGATGGAGGACCAACAGCAGGGGATAGCATGGCAGAGACAAACCAGTGTATGCCGATTGTGGCCACTGATGTAGATGGCCTCAATTCAGCAATAAAAGGTAACACAGGATAACTTGCCCATCAACTGCAGAATAAATAAGATATGGTATACAATGAAAAGCTACTCAGCATAAAGTAGGATAGTCATGAGGCCCTTATAGGTAAATGGATGCAACCGGAGATCATGTTCATGGGTCAAACAGTTTGAACTCATACAGGTGAACCCTACTATAAAAAACAGAAGTTAGTGGGATCCAAAAAGCACAACAGATATTATAAAAGTGATAGAAGAGGAATCACCTAGAAAGGAAAGGTGGTTACCACTGTTAATTTCTTATTGTCTTAAACTCTTGTATTGTCTTCACAATTTTGTTAGGTTTGGTTTTGTTCTGTCTTGTTAGATTTTACTGTGCCTGATGGTATGGGCAGCTATTTAGAACATAATGGGGTATATTATAGTAATCATGGTTGATTTCCCATTATCTTGTTTTGAAGTCCTGTAATGCTTTCATTCATTCAACTGGTTTTATTGTTTTGATTTTATTACATGTGATGGTCTGAACAGCTATTTTGAAAAAAAAAGAGACATTGTGTAAATAGCCTTTTTATTTCTTTTGTGTTGAGCACTGCTTTTTCACTTCAAATCAGCCTTTGCTGATTTCCTATCATCTTGTTTTGAAGCCCTATTATGTGGGGATCTTTTGTTTGGATTGGTTTTATTCTGTCATGTTTTGATTTTATTATGTGTGGTAGCATAGACAACTGTCTTGAGGAAAACAAACACATTATAGTAACCACTGTTCATTTCTTGTTATCTGGTTTTAAAGTCTTGTAATGCTTTCATTCTTTTGGTTGATTTTATACTATTTTTCTGTTTGATATTGTGTGAAGGTCTGGACCACTAGTTCAAAGAAAACAAGACATTATGGTAGTCACCATTGATATCCTGTTGTCTTGTTTTGAAGTCCTATGTTGCTTATATTGTTCTGATTTGCTTTGTTGTGTTTTGGTTTGTTTTATTCTCTTTAACATTAAAAAAAAATGTATTATGGTAGCCATTACCGATTTCCTAATGTTTCCAAGCTCTGTATTGCTTTATTTGATTTTATTATGTCTGATGATATAGGCAGCTACTTTGAAGATAACAAGAGACATATGATAATCATTGTTATTTTCCTATTATCTTTTGAAGTCCTGTATTGCTTTCATTGTTTTGATTGGTTTGTTATGTTTTGATTTTATTATGTCTGATGATATGGGCAGTTATTTTGAAAATAACAGACATTATGTTAGTCATTACTGATTTCCTTTTATCTTGTTTGAAGTCCTGTATGTTCCTTGTTTTGCTTTGATTGGCTCTATTGTTTTGTTTCACTTGGTTTTTTCTTCAAAATAGAAAAGAGTATGAAATAAATTGAAATAAATGTAACTGTGGAAACTAAGAAAGTAGAAAGTTTTTTAAAATTTTATTTTAAAGAGGGTAAAACTAAACATAAAATAGAACAAAGCAGATCAGAAGAAAACAATGTAAGAGACACAGATTTCAAAGCAAGACAACAGGAGATCATGACTGTCTATTATTGTCTCATTTTCTTCTAAATAGTTGTCCATATCTTCACACAAAATGAATTCATACAAAACAAAATAGTACTAAACTGATCAGAACAGAATGATGAAGGCATTTTAGGCCTTCAAAACCAGCCAATAGGGAAATCAACAATGGCTGCCATGTCTCTCATTCTCTTCAAAATAGCTGTCCATACCTTCATGTATGTTGAAAGTAAGTAATATAAAACAGACTAAAATCACCCTGAACAAAGAATAATAGTGTTGCTGGATTTCACAGCATGACATTCTGGAATCAGCACTGGGTACCGGAGTGTCTTTTTCTTCAAATTAGCTGTTCATCATATATTATATAATCAGATTTCATAAACTGTTTAGAAGTTCTATGCAAGTATGAGTTTCTACATGTATACCTATCCTTTCTGTATTAAGGGAAAAATAAAACAAAACAAATTTCTAGAAAAACACAAAACAAAAGACAAATAACAACAGCAAAGAGCCCAAAACACTGACAATATAGGCCTTTAAAACAAGGTGGTAGGAGCATAATTGGGGTTATTTTACATAATGATCTTCAAGAGTTCCTCAGATCCCCACATAATAATATGCACAACTGTTCTAACCCTATGAATGTTTAACTATTTTGTTCCAAGAAATTATAGACTTTGTAGCACAATCATCTTAGCTATCCTAAGTATGTTATATAATTTGGGATATTTTTTCTTTTCCCTTCCTTTTTCTTTTTCCTCATTTTCCCTGAGATATTATTTTTCCTCTTTAAGCAGATTCTTATCCTTTCACTGTATTTATTTTTTGTATCTTATGTACTCTTACCGTTTCTTACACTAGGGGGACTATATGGTATTTAAACATGTGAGTTTACTTCACTTATGAGTATGGTCTCAAGTTGTATCCATTTACTTATAAATATCTCAATGTGATCATTCTTTATAGCTGAGTAGTACTCCATTGTATAAAAATACCACAAAGTAGAGTTTTAAAAGTTAGGAAAAGTAGAAACTTTTAAAAGCTGTAGAACTAATTAATATAAAATAAAACGAAAACAGAAGTTTCTTTGAGAGAAACATATTTAATAGGTTTAAGAAAGAAAGAAGGAAAAAATAACAGGGAAAAAACATAGACAGGATCCAGGCACATTGGAGTATGCTATAGTCTCAGACCTTAGGAAACTGAAACAAGATTATAAATTAAGAATCCTGCCTGGTCAATTATCGAGACCCTTTCTCACAATAAAAAGGAAATGCAGGTCCAGAGTTTAATACCCAGTACCACAAAAAGGAAAAAAGGGGGAAAAAAAGGAAGACTGGGAAAATAATTCCACTACTTCAACAGAGCACAAGTTTATAATGTGTGAAGTTGGGCTGGGGATTTAACTCAGCAACAAAGTGCCTGTCTGAGAGGCAAAAGGTCCTGAATTCAATTCCATACACACACACACACACACACACACACACACACACACACACACACATATATATATATATATATATATATATAGAGAGAGAGAGAGAGAGAGAGAGAATGTGTATAGAACGTGTAAGGTCTAGGTTCAATCCCAAGATGATGAAAAATTTCAAGACTCACATGTGGTACTGACCGTAGTAATCTATACTTGGGGTATGTCAGCACACAATTTAAACCATGAATAATCAATAATAGGGAAGAAATTAAATCTCACTCTTCAAGTTTGCTTTTATTGTGTTTGAGGCAGGGCCTCTCAGTGTAGTCCAAGCCGGTCTCAAACTCACCCTCTTGCCCTAGGCTCCCAAGTACTGAGATTACAAATATGTGAATCACACCTAGTTTTTTCGTTTTTTTTTTTTTTTTAAGATAGGGTCTTGCTATATACTACAGGCTAGTCTTGAATTCCCTATGTAGCCTAGGCTGGCCACAATCTCAGTGATCCTCCTGCCTTGGCTTACCTAGTGCTGGGATTACAGGTATTCACTGCCACCCACAGCTCAAATTTTTATACAGCTTAACATCCAGTCTTTCTCTCCTGAAGGTCAACAGATGGGGCCTTCTCTAACTTGCAGATGATCTAATCAGTTGGTCTGTCTCAGTGTCCCATGTTAAGTCACCCTATCATAAACTCAAGTGTATACCCATTATGAACTACCATCACAGACTATGCAGGGGACTGAGTTAATTAAAACTAAAATAGCAGACATCCTGCTGTGAAAGTTCCCTCATGCCAGCTTTTTATGATGAACACGAGTTTTATCAAGTGCTTCTTCTGCAAGCTGTAGACTATAAATTGTAGTGACTAACAGGAATGCAAAGAATTATCCATAAATATTCAGATTTCCCTTCTCCACTGAATAGAGTACTTGCCTCCACCTGTACATTTAGTTTGAAAATTTCTTTACTTTGTATCAATTTATACTTTGATTTTTTAAAGAAAATCAAACCTTTTTTGAAAATTATCTTCTCTCAGGAAGAAATGAAATGTAAGATTTTTTGTGCTTATTTTTATAAAGCACAATTCATTTAAGGTAAAGATCAGTAAACTATTAAAGTAAGCCAACCCAGCTAAGACTAGAAACAATAATAGCACATAGAATATAGGATTGGTGGCAGCTTTTTTCAGTGACTGAATATGAAGGGAGAAAATAGGTCTTAAATTTTTTAAGCAACACTCAGAGACACTATGAGGAGAACACTTAGGGGGAAAAAGATAATTTCCCTTAGATCTCTAAAGTAAAAGAGCATATGCTAGAATATAGATACAATTACTGTCAGAACACATAAAAAGCAAGGTCTGTTTTGTTGTTGTTGTTGTTAACTGAGGTTATTAGGCTTCTGCACATTGGCATATCTTTATTCTATTTATTTTCCCCTTCCCTTTCTCTTCACCCCTTGTTCTTTCTCCCTTGGACCACTTCTCTATTGCAAGAGAGCTATCTCCTTGTCCCTTTCTATCCATTCTTCTTAGTTGTACTTTACCTCACTCAACTGAGAGACACCACACACTGTTCAGCTTATATATCGTTTATTTCACTCAACATTGTATTTTCCAGGTATGTCCACTGTCTGATGAATGTTTCATGACTGTCATTCTTTACAGCATACTAGTATTCCACCATACACAAATATATTTTCTTTAACCAATCAATTGTTGATGGATATATAGGCTTTTTCCAGGATTCAGCTATTACAAATCATGCTACTATAAATATTGGTATGCATGTATCACTGTAAAATGTTTTCCCAAGCTTTTGTGGAAAGACACCTAGCAGGGGGATTATAGGGTCATATGAGATTTTTAAAAAAATCATCTTTATATATGTATTCACTTTTCTTCTAGATATTTCCTGTTACATTTTTACTAAAGTAAAGCACAATGTCTTGATATTATTGAGCATTTGTTTAATGACCTAAAATTCAAGGCACTTTACACATTTTTAAAAAAATACATTAATAAAAGTAACTTTACTTCTCAAACATTCCTTTGTAACAGCAAAGTGGAAGAGAAGTAACAGCCTCACATTAAAACAATTGACACTCACAATAAAAATAAAGGAAGACTCAAGTACAGTTAATTCACAAAGGGGACAGTTACATTTAAAGATGGATCTTAATGTTCTCAATACCTCATTTAAACTATTCTTTAACATATTTTGGCAAAATAAAAACAGCAAAACATAGTCGTGAGTTCGATCCCTGGTACTGATAAAAACAAAAAAGACAAACAAACAAACAAACAAAAAAAACTAGAAAAACAATTGCATCTGAAAGCCCCTTCTTATCAACTGATTTTTAATTTTTTAAACCATATAAACAACAAATCTTTTGGCGTCTTCAACATATTAGAAATAAAATTTATTAACTTTCAACAATATAACTCAACAGGGAACATCAATATTATCAATACTTTAGCAATAATAAGTGGAAGAACAAATTTCTCAATAGTAGATTGCCAAATTCCTTCATCTTAACAGTTATCAGTTTTTTAAAAACTTATACATACAACAAACATGATTAAACACTTTTTAATCACATGTATCTACCTACTCTTCAAATTGAACATAGTATCGACTGCATTCCTGTAATAAAAATTTGAAAAGAAAAAAATACTGCATAAAATAACAACAATGGAAGCTCAAAAATTTGCATTAGTTTGAGTAAACTAAATAAACTACTGAATTAAGTAACAAATATTGTAGGAAAAACTGTTTTCAACTACAGTGAAATAAGTAGTTGATGGGATTGTGGTGATTTTCCCACCTTGCCCCCAGATTTTCAGAAGAAACCAGACAGAAAATTGACTGCGGTCAAGAAAAAGTTGAAGAAAAACAGCATTGGCGGACCTGTAGGAGTGAAAACAAAAGATACAACAAACTATAATAACCCTGAGACAACCACTGCTGGTGACTGTCACTTACCTGAGGATGCATACAAAGATCAAGCTACTTCTTCCTCACCACCTTCGACTAAAAATGCAGTGACATTTGGCAGTGTCCTTCCCCAGGTGCTGCTTACTGTTGTCACTTCAGAACCATGATGCTGAGCCTTCAACACCAGTCTTGTGTCTTAGCCTACATACTACATTAAAAGGGATAATCTGCAAAGATGAAGGACCAAGAGAGCTGGTACCAAGAGCTAACAGCAGCCCAGACTCCAGCTATCAAACAACTTAGTAGCAAGGTAGAAGAATCCAAACAGCAGAACCAAAATGCTCTGGAACAGCTGGAAAAAGAAGTAATGTCAACAGAAGTTGACAAAGGAGGAGGTGGCTCTACAGGAAAAGCCGTACAGGAAAATCTCATTTCATATTAAGACCATAAATATTATGATGTCTCAGAAGGAAGAATTACACATGACCATGGCTGATGTTCATCAAGCAGCCTGCTAACAGCAAAAGTCTGAGGAATTTGCCACCCACCTGATATCATTCTGTCTTGGACGGAGTGACAGGGGGTGGCAAGCAGAAGGAATCAACTGGAGAGGTTGGAGTTGTCCAAGAACAAAAGCAATGAGTGAAGCTGCAAAACTCAGAATTGTGAGATCTTCATATCCTCACAGCAGAAAATGTATCCATGTACTTGAGAATGGAGGAGCTACAAAGGAAGTTGGAGGTGTTCACTTCTATTCCAACACTTCTCCAGCAGGTATGAATTCCCTCTAAAGTTACATCAGGCCAAAAGAAATGGGCGCGGCAGGAGATACACGTTGGCCCGATGGAGTGAAACTACCACAGTTAGAGACACTCCAGGCTGCAGAGTGAAAGAATGCCATGTGTTTTTTTTTTTTTTTTTTTTGGCCTTTTTCCTTTTTATCGGTACCAGGGATCAAACTTACGTCTGCCTGCTTCCAAGGCAGGTGCTTTATGCCGCTGAGCTAAATCCCCAGCCCCCAAAAGAATGCCATGTTGCAGCAGAGGCAGCAGCAAGTGTCAGAGTGGTCCCTATCTATCATGAGACAAACAGCAGACAGATACCAAGAACAAAGTGTGACATACCAGGGTCAAAAGCAAGGAAACCAAGAAGCTACAGTACCAACAGAAACCTGGAGATGACAGGATGTGACACTTCCAGGATAGGATTCAGGAACAGAAAAAGAGTAAGAGGAAAAGCTAAGAAATCTAAATGATGGATTTTGATGAATGATGTGTAGATAATATTTCAATAATAGACATATCCTTCCAATATAAGGTATTAATACCATAATAAAGGGAAACAGAAGCTGAATTAAAAGAAACAAAGTGAAATAGGCTATGAAATCTCATTTTTTTAATGAAAAACAAAACCAGCAAAGAAGCTAGCTTAAACTGATGTTTAACTGTCTAAACATGAAAACCACTGCACTTATTTAAGAACTTGTTTACATTTGTGAATCCCATTCTTTTATTAACAACAATTTTGTTATAACAAACTGACATTTCCTGCTGTTTTTATCAGTCACATTTTCATTTTCTAGCAGAATATGATCATACTTCAATTTCAGAATTCTTTTAGAATATGTAAAAATGTTTGTGCAATTTGTAGTAGAAATGAAATGATTTGGATTACTCAAAAATAGTCACAACCCCATAAAGTTCCAGAAACTAAGTCACATAGTCCTTGAAGACAAAGAACAACTTTTCTGAAATCTGAGCCTCTCAAAAAGTTTCAAAAATAAAATTGTGAACAAATTTAAATATCTCCTTGTTGTAAACTGTTCTCTAATACTATTTTAGTAAGTTTATTTATTCAACCGCTTCTTTAGATCCTCAAGGTGTTCCATATTAACATCCTGTAATGCAAGTACCATTGCTTTACACAAGGAAGGATTAAATGAAATAGTCATCAAACAGCACAAATCTATTAGATCTCTCTGACATTTCTGCAAGCCTTCCAGGAACTTTTGGTATTTAGGAGGGTCCTTTTTTAACTGTTTCATTTCTAGTACTGAAAACCCTATTAAACTGGTAAGTATTTCATCTACAAAGTCTACATCTAGATATGCAGTGCCATCAGAAATCTTAGCAGTTACACTCCAAATGCCACCAGAACTTGAGAGATTGCCAGTCAAAGTTACAATAAACGCTTTGACCTTCACAGTTGTAACTTCCTGTGGTTTGTTGGCCATTAGAACAGACAGATAAGTGAAGGGTGGAGAATACAAATCTGTGCCAACAGAAAGATTAGTGCTACTCTCTGACTTTACAGAACACTCCTGTAAGTGGGGACCACGTTCATTAGAATCCTGTAAACTCTTAACTGGCTCTCTACTTAATATTTTATCATTTAAAAAATGTCCATCCAAACTGCTGATAGTTTGTTTTACTTTATTATCTATCTCTGAGTTTTCTTTATTTGTAAAATTAGGTGCTAACGATATAATACAATGACCTAAAGAAATACCACTGTTTTGGTCTGTAGCAGATGAACAACCAAAAGACCTGTTTTCATGAATCATCTCTTTAAGTAAAGTTTTTTCATTCCCATTATTATTTCTTTGTTTGCAAATCAAAGAAAAATCATTCAGAGTATTAGGTTTATGTGAAAATCTCTCCATATTTTTATTTGTGTTTTTGTTCAAAGTCAATGGCTGCAATTCTTTAGTTTTCATGTGTTCTTTTTGGATAGTTTCTTCTAAAAGCAAGGCCTCCTCCAATGAAAAGTCACCCAATTCCCCATCAGTGCATTGTATAAATTGATTTGGTGGTTTCTCCTCTGGTCTTTGAGAACTGAATGCTGGCTCAAAACTTGACTGTCTCATAGGAATGCTGTTCAAGGAACTACCAGTGTTGGTACATCTTTCCAAGGTGTCATTATTTGCTTCCAGCTCATCATTTTCCTCAAGACTTGCCAAGAGTTCTTCATCAGAAAGTCCCAACACAGGCTCTATAACATCTACAACTCTGGGGATGTTTTGATTAGAATTATTTGGTCTGAATGAAACTACAGAATCAGGCTCCCCAATTAATCTTGAAAGTACTTTTTCTTGTGCATATTCTTCTAAAAGAGCATCTACTTCACCTCCTAACACTTTTACATTATCTGGTTTCAGTAGGAGAACGCCAAGACGGAATGAAATGTTTCCATAAATCAAAATTTTTGTGCCTGGAGGAAGATCACTATGAAGAGCAGAAATAGACTGATATTCCATTCCCTGAATTTGTACTAATCCATCAGTTAGCTGTAGCATCAACATTCGTGAAGGCTTTGCTTCCCAAGGTTTGGGGGTAACTTGTGTTTCAGCTGTAACTAGATCATTTGTTGTATTCTTTCCTCTCAACTGTTGTATCTGAGAATATGCAGGCTGACTTACATCAACCAAGGAATTAATCTGTAGAGCATAAAATCCGTTCAGTTCTCCTTTTGGAATTTCTAAAATGTTATCAGGTAAAAGAGGATGTTCCAAATCTCTCAGGTCAGTAAGTAACCATTGCTCAAATACTTGTTTATTTATCTGTGCCTGACTCAAAGTAACATTATTATTTTCTTCTAGGATCCAATTAATACACGCTTCCAGCCACATTAGAGGTACTTTAACATGCCATGTAGCTGAAAGCCAGGTTTCAACTCTTAATGCAGTGCTAGTTACACTCATTTTTAAAAATAAAATAAATAATATGCATCTGTTACCTGGAAACAAAAATAAAAATTATAATTCAGTACATTTAAATACAGCTTTTAAAAAAATATATAGCTTCTATAATTCTCTACAATGTAAAAATAGGCATAACCACCACATCCGTTAAATTTTTCTCCCCAATACCTTGAAAATCTAACTTTCTACTTGGCCAATATCAAACATGAGAAATAATCAGATGGTATAATGAGGAAAGTAAAATGCTTTAGACAGATATACCAAAGTCTGAAAGCTGGCTCTGTCGAATCACAAACTATATCACCTAATAAATGATTCTTCAACACACTTTCCTCATTTGTAAAATGTCAATTCCACCATCTAACGGAGTTTAAAGAATTGTAAGGATAATATTTATAAAGCATACAGATTTATGAAGGATACTCAGTAAAAAGTAATTATATTAAAATGATCAGATTCTAATGATTTAAAATTTAGTCAAGTTACAATGTTCACTGAAGTTGCATTGTAATTAACACTAATTTAACTCTATTCTAACATATCCCTGTGTTTGGCCAGTTAGCACGTAAATCGGCATTCTAACAATAAAAACATAACAAGTAACAGTAGACTCTGAGATGATATTAAGTATCTTATTTATTTAACTAAAATATCCTCAAGAGTCTTGCCAGGTAAATATACTCTGATTTTCTCAGTATAATAAAATAGTAGGAAAAGAATAATAGCTAAATAATAATCTTTAATTGCTAAAGAATAATCAATTACATGTCTACAAAAGTTGGATTTATTTCTCCTATTGATGAAGATATTTAAGACAGAATTTATCTAAGTTTTAATATGTCCATAAGAAAACTTACCACTTGGAACAGCAACACAGGATTGGATGACAGGATCCTGAATTGACTGTTCAGTCAAGTATTCAAAAATCTCTACTGCTTAGAGATGGCCCTGAGAGAGAAAACAAGAAACAGAAAAGATTATAAGATAAAGCTGTAGAAAGAATTTTTGTCCTATTTTCATTAGTGCAAGACATTCAAGATTCTATTATCAGTCAGGATAGAATAAAGACAACATAGAACAGAACCAGGAGGGCTGGAGTGAAATAAATAGAAAAAAAGTGACGACGAGAAAGTTAATGTTTCTTTTTTTTTTTTTTTTTTTTTTTGTCTTTATTGGTACCAGGGATCGAACTCACAACTGCCTGCTTGCAAGGCAGGCGCTTATGCCACTGAGCTAAATCCCCAGCCCCAAGAAAGTTAATCTTTCTAAGCCTATTTTATTTCTATACTTACTTTACAGGCAGCTGTGACAATTAAAGACAAGTCAGGCAGTATTTGAGATATCAGTTCAGAGTATAACTCTGGTGCCAGATTGCATTTCACTTATAAATCGCAACCTTAAATTATTCAACCTCAAGGTATCCTAAATTAACTCATTTGTAAAATTTAGAATAAAGCATTTTCCTCACAGACTTGTTGAAAAGATTAAATTAATATGGAAAAAAACAACACTGACACCCTAATAACTCAGTAACTATATTGCTAAGGTACTTATACACAGCACCTGGCAAAAACCAATCACACAAAATTACAGCTGTTACTTACTTTAGCGTGAATGACTAGTTCCCACATTGGATAAAGTCCCAGACTTCCCTGAACATTGTGAACTGACACTTTTTTTAAGTTTTCAAACTAGAAAATAATACCTCTACCCATTTTAGAAGAAAAGGCTGGTAAAGCAGCAACAAAACTATTTCACACTGTAACTCAAAAAAAAAAAAAAAAAAAAAAAAAAAACAACTGAATGATGCCTGAAAAAAGCAAACTAAAACTTCAGTTTATTGTTGATCCTAAGGTTACCAAACATCTTTTCATATTTCTCAGTGATACCGAATCTTTATAAACTGCCTCTAACCTCTTATTCCTCTTTGGACCTCTATTTCTGTCCTAGCACATAATAAGTTTCCTGTCATCAGTACTTTTGCTGCTATCTTTTAACCAATCTATAACTAAGCATATAGACGCACAGGGCTCTCAGGAACCTACATACAGTAAGCATATTATTCACTTTAATTATAGAATTGGTCAAGTTTTATATTGAAAACATGATTGACTGAGAGTAAAATTTTTTTAAATGTCTATATGAAATCAAAGTAAAATTGCCTATTGTGATAAAAATAAACTATGTATGGTCAAACAGACAAGGATCTTTAAAAAGACACCAACATAGCAAATTCAGTAGCACAGCTAGACACAAAGTTGACACTCAAAAATCAATAGCATTCCTGTACACTAACAACAAACTCACTGAGAGAAATTAGGGAAACCTACACCCTTCACAATAGCATCCAAAAAACTGAAATACTTAGGAATCAATCTAACAAAAGAAGTAAAAGTACTGTACATTAAAAATTATAGCACTCTGAAAAAGGAGTCAGAAGATAACAGAAAATAGATATCCCTTGCTCATGGATAAGAACCACCAACATTGTGAAAATGGTCATACTGCCAAAACTGTTCCACAGATTTAATGCAATTCCAATCAAAATACCATTAGCATACCTCACAGAATTAGAGAAAACATTTCTAAAATTCATTTGGAAACAGAAGAGACCTACAATAGCAAAGGTAATACTAGGCAACAAAGGCACGGCAAGAGACATCACAACACCTGACTTAAAATTATACCACAGAGCTACTGTGATAAAAACCAGCATGGTAATGGCACAAACACAGATGCAAAGATCAGTGGAATAGATTACAGGCTGCAGACACAACTACAAACACACACAGCCACCTAATCTTTAACAAAGGAGCCAAACATACTCAATGGAAAAAAGAGAGCTTCTTTAATAAGTGGTGCTAGAAAAAACTGATTCTCTACATGTCGAACACTAGCAGATCCATGTCAACCACCATGTACTAAGGTCAAAATAGATCAAAGATCTAAATGTTAAAATGGAAAACCATGAATCTACTGGAAGAGAAAGTAGGAAGAAATCTTGAAGACACAGTAATAGGCAAACAGCTCATGAACAAAACCCAAACTGCATGGAAAATACTTCAAAGAATCAACAATTCATCTTACTAAACTTTTTGCACATCAGAAGAAATCACCAACAAAGTGAAAAGACAATCCACAGAGTGGAAAAAAATTTTAACCAAAAAATTTTAACTCAAAGGATGTTCATCTAGAACTGAAAAAACCCAGACCCTTCAAATTCAAAGACCCAATCCAAAAATGGGCATCCAAGATGAATACACATTCTCAAAACATCACTGGTCATTCAAGAGATGCAAATTAAAACAACACTAAGATTCCATCTCAATCCATAAACAATGGTTATCATCAAATCAACCAGTAACAAATGCTGGAGCAGTTGTGGGGTAAAAAAAACCATTCTCCACTGTTGGTAGGAATGCAGACTGGTGCAACCACTGTAGTAATCAGTATGGCGATCCCTCACAAAGCTAGCATTAGAGGTCCCATTCAACTCAGCTATTATCCTTCTGGATATCTTCCCAGAATTAAAACTATCACACCACAACAATTTATGTGCACCCATGTTTATAGCGGCACAATTTGTAACAGCTAAATCTTGGGAAAAATCCAACTGCTGATCAACCAAAAAACGGATTTTTAAAAAGTGGTATTTTTATATGATAGAATACTGTTCAACCTTAAAGAAAGATAAACTTGAGATTTTTATAAGTAAATGGATGCAAGTTGAGTCCATATTCACAAGTAAAATAAACTGAATGCGTATGTAAACATCATATTGCCTCCCTGGTATGAGAAACTGAAAAAGTAAATAAGGTCGAGAACATATAATAGATATTGTGACATGGAAAGTAATTGTTTAAAAGGAAAAGGTACTAGGAGGGAGGAAAGGGGAAAGGAAAGGAAAAGGGAGAAAAATCAAGTTAGCTATACTATTAGTGTCTCTAAGTTCAATGAAAAAGTTCATGCTAATATCAATTGGAGAATTTTTTATATCTTATATTCTAACTACTTGGAAGATGATAATATACAACATATTAATTCATGTCATTCTCCTATTATTTTGAAATTGTTTTATCTTTTTTCAACTTAAGAAAAAAAAAGTCTCTCCACGAGTTCTCTGATTTAACAAATGGAAATATTTCCTGATTATAAAGAAAAGCAAAATACAGGGCTCCGGATGTAGCTCAGTAGTAGAACATATGCCTGTTGTGTACAAGACCCTGAGTTCAATATCTGACAATGCAAAAAGGAAAAGGAAGGAGAGGGAGGTAGGGGAGGAGAAAAACACAGAACAGGATATACAGTATACTAACTTTTGTACACACAAAATTCAAGAAAGTAAGCATATTCTTACTTTATATTCATTAAAAAGTCTTCAGAAGGCCTTATAAGAGATAAAACTACATACAGCCAGGCACTGTTGGCACATGCCTGTAATTCCAGCACTTGGGAAGCTGAGGCAAGAGCAGCACTGAGTTCAAGGTCAGGCTTACACTATAAAGTGACTTTAAGGTCAGCCTGAACTACACAGGGAGACTCTGTCTCAAAACTACAAATGGAGAGCCAGGGACAGCTGCCATGGGAATGGGAAGAGAATCAAAGTCAAACCACACCTTCCTATGAGCCACCAATGCAGGGGCTGGGAGACAAGAGCAACACCCCCACCACCCCGCTTCATTCCCTGTGAGTAATGGGCTGATTCAAAGGAAATCAGGCTGACAGCAACTGAGGTGAAAGGAATAGCTTGATGCTTGTATCCTTTGACTGACTTTGCAGCCCTGGGTTTGCTGGTCTACACACCTGTTTGGAGGACCGCAGTGTGCACTGTGGCAACTGTGGGGGATTTCCTTCTGTTATTTTTGAAATCCAATGTTTTGTTTCATTTTACAGTTTTGTTTTATTCCTGTATCTGGTAATCTAAGCAACTATTTTGAAGATAACAATATGCAATATAACAACCATTGTTAGATTCCTATCATCTTGTTTTGAAAACCTATACAGCTATTGTTTTTTGTTGTTTTTAATTCTTGATTTTTGTTTTCTCTTTAAAATAAAGAATAAATTAAACAAAACAATGGGAATAAATACACAATTAAATTCAATAATAAGAGCAAATTCCCCCTCTGGGTATCTTCCCAGAAAAATTAAAAACATCGTATCACAGCAATATATGTGCATCCATATTTTCAGCAGCAGAATTTATAATAGCCAGATCTTGGAAACAACCTAAATGCCCATTAACTGAGGAATGTATAAAAACGATGTGGTGTTTTTATACAATGGAGTACTATTCCGCCTTAAAGAAGGATAAAGTGGAGCTTTTTATAGGTTAATGGATGCAACTTCAGACCATACTCATAAGTGAAATAAATAAGACACATGTGTGTAAACACTGTATTATCACATTAGTATGAGCTGAAAGAACATATGTACATGTATATATATGTATATAAGAAAATAGTTAAAATAGTTATACTACTGATTTATCTGAGTTCACTGAAGAGAAGATTTGTGCCGGTATTTTTTGGACAATTGAATGCAGATGTCTTGTGCTCTGGGTGAATTATTTGGGGATGACAATGCACAATGTATGCACCATTGTTGCCCCATTGACGTGTTTTGAAATTTAGTTTTATGGTTCTTTCTTCTTTCCTTCTTTCTCTCTCTCTCTCTCTCTCTCTCTCTCTCTCTCTCCTTCTCCTTCCTCCTCCTTCCCCTCCTGAAATAAAATGGATTTTTGAAAAAATAATAATAATAAGGGCAAAATCTTCCTGGTCAGGAACAGAGAACTTTTAACAGTGGTAAGTGAGCACAACACCCCTGCAGCTTCTGGGACAGGAACTTAAAGCATGTAGCCCAATCAGTCCAGTATACCATGCCCCAAGCAGAAGACCATGAAGGACAGATATGTCACTAGAATTGAGGCAAAAGAAAATCCCATCCAA